CCCATTCTCTCACATGTGGGCCTACCAGCTTTCTCCCACTTGATTTGAAGCCGCTAGAATTATTGAGTATATATACGTCAGAAACATTGGCTCGTAAGACGTATTTATACGTCGAAAACAGTCAAAGGGTTAATGGAAATGTCTATACAGTGGACCCTCGCCTAACGAACGCATCGCATAACGTTAAATTCGCCTAACGATACATTTTAACGCTAACTTTTGCCTCGGATAACACTAAAAAACTCGCCTAACGATATTCGTTCTCGGGTACCAATTAATATTGTTAGGTGAGGGTCCACTGTATTAATGTAATATACAGTATTTAATGTGCCCAAGAGATTATTACAGTGGACCCCCGGATTAAGTCGTCATCGGAATAAGTAACATTTTTGCGTCAAAATATTGGCTCGGTGAATGTCACTGAACTCGGTATAAGTCATTCATCCGGAACGTGTCTGCGTGGCCTGAGCAGCCCTGACACTCCATGTACAGCCAGTGTGCCATTGTATACCAGCCAGTGAGGACGATCCCATGCGTTCATACTATACATTTTGTATTATTCCATTCTTTTTAGTGCTTGTAACTGCTAAATAAGCCACCATGGGCCCAAAGAAAGCTTCTAGTGCCAGCCCTTTGGTAAAGAGGGTGAGAAACACTATAAAATTCAAGAAAGAGATCATTGCAAAATACAAAAGTGGAATGTGTGTCACCGAGCTGGCCAGGTTGTATAACAAACCCCATACAACCATCGCTACTATCGTGGCCAAGAAAAAGGCAATCAAGGAAGCTGTTGTTGTGAAAGGTGCAAATATGCTTACAAAACAGAGATCACAAATATTGGAAAATGTGGAGACTGTTGTTGGTGTGGATCAACGAGAAACAATTATCAGGAGATAGTGTTATGCAGTCCATCATTTGTGAAAAAGCAAAGCAGTTGCACGATGATCTCGTAAAGAAAATGCCTGGAACTAGTGCTGATATTGGTGAATTTAAGGCCTGCAAAGGCTGATTTGAGAGATTTAAGAATCGTAGTGGCATACACAGTGTGATAAGGCATTGTGAGGCTGCCAGTTCTGACAAAAAAGCGGCTGAAAAATATGTTCAGGATTTCAAGGGGTACATAGAGGTTTGAAAAATTAAAACCCCAACAAGTGTTCAATTGTGATGAAACAGGTCTCTTTTGGAAGAAAATGCCAAACAGGACCTACATTACTTAGGAGGAAAAGGCACTCCCAGGACACAAGCCTATGAAAGACAGGCTAACTCTCATGTTTTGTAGTAATGCTAGTGGGAATTTCAAAGTGAAGCCTTTACTGGTGTATCACTCTGAAAATCCCAGAGTGTTCAAGAAAAACAGTGTCGTCAAGAGTAAATTGTGTGATGTGGAAGGCAAACAGTAAGGCATGGGTCATGAGAGACATTTTCCTTAATTGCTTCCATGATGTGTTTGGCCCCAGTGTGAAAAAATACCTCCTGGAAAACAAATTGGAACTCAAGTGCCTCCTGGTAATAGACAATGTTCCTGCTCATCCTCCAGAGTGAATGGTGCAGGAGTTTCATTTCATCAAAGTGAAATTCTTTCCCCCTAATACCACTCCTCTCCTCCAGCCCATGGACCTGCAGGACATTTCAAATTTAAAAAACTATACACCAAAGTAGTGTTTCAGAAGTGAATTGAAGTGACCTCAGACACTGAATTGACCCTAAGAGAGTTCTGGAAAGATCACTTCAGTATCCTAAGTTGCATAAACTTTATAGGTAAGGCTTGGGAGGGAGTGACTTCCAGGACTTTGTACTCTGCTTGGAGAAAATTGTGGCCAGAATGTGTACAAGAGAGGGATTTTGAAGGGTTTGGGGCTGACCCTAAGGAGGCTATGCCAGCTGTGGAATCTATTGTGGCATTGGGGAATTCCATGGGGTTGGATGTGAGTTTGAAGGATGTGGAAGAGTTGGTGGAGGACCACGATGAAGAGCTAACCACTACAGAGCTGCAAGAGCTTCAGAGGAGGAGGAAGAGAGATGGAGGAAGTTGCCTTCTTCAAAGATTAAGGGCATTTGTACAATGTGGACAAAGGTGTAAACATTTATGGATGAACATCATCCTGACACCCTGAAACAACTGTTGCAGGCCGTGTTGGCAACATGTACAATGACAATGGTGTGTCCCATTTTAAGAAAATCTTAAAGAGACGCCAGAAATAGAGCTCTCTTAACAGATATTTTGTGCGACAGGGGTCCAGTGACTTTCAAGCTGGTTCTAGTTGCATAAAAAATAAAGAAGGGAAGTAACCCCAGAAAAGGACTTGGTACTTGAAGTCTTTATGGGAGGGGATTCCCCTTCCAAACACTAGTACACCTCCATCCTCCCCCCTCCTCCCGTCTCATCACTCATCAATAAGTCTTCAATAAAGGTAAGTGTCATTTTAGTAATGTTTTACTCTGCATGTCTCATTGTTTTCTGTGTAGGGAAATGTATATTTCATGTTTAATACTTTTGGGTGTCTGAAATGGATTAATTGGATTTCCATTACATGTATTTCTTATGGGGAAAATTAATTCGGAATAAGTCAGATTTGGGATAAGTCACTCTTTCTGGAATGGATTAATTACGTAATCCGGGGATCCACTGTATATGGCATCAAGAGTAGAGAGACTCTTAGTGATTTTAATGTGTACCTGCACATCAACACAGCATGTATGTATATTTATGTACAGGTACACATAAGTATAATTATCAGAGTATGCACATATAAAATATTCAATAACTTTAAAACAATTGAAATTTTGGAAAAATTTCCAGACATAATAGAGAGACATTCTTACAGAGAATGTAAACAAATCAGGTGGGGCGCACAGTATTAGAAAGACTGGGAGCCGTATAGCAAGTTTTGGTTATAATTTGAAATCGCTGTACTTATTAGCAAAACGCTGTAAGGCAAAATGCCGTAAAGCGGGGCCCTACTGTATGTGTAAAGATGGATTTACCTCAGCAATCATACACAGTGGAACCCCGAATATCAGCTGCTGCGTTTATCAGCCGAATTGTATATAGGCCAGTTTTTGGGTGGAAATTTTGCTCTGTATTTCGGTCGGTGCCTCGCAAATCAGCCGTATTATACGTGTCAGCCCGCCTCCCACTGGGATGCCGCGTGTAGGTGACTCAGTCTCCCTGTGTCTCGGTGAATGAGCATATACTCCGCACATTCATCCAAACATTTCCTTAAAATCCATCGGTTTTTGTGCTTGTTTATTAAGTGCGACTGTGAAATAACGCACCATGGGCCCAATGGAAGATGTGGAGAGAGGTAGGGAGTGTAGCAGGGAAACAGAGTGTGTGGGAGGCAGGGAGTGTAGCAGGCATGCAGGGAGTGTAGCAGGCATGCAGGGAGTGTAGCAGGCAGACAGGGAGTGTAGCAGGGAAACAGGGAGCGTAGCAGGCAGGCAGGGAATGTAGCAGGCATGCAGGAAGTGTAGCAGGCATGCAGGGAGTGTAGCAGGCATGCAGGGAGTGTAGCAGGCATGCAGGGAGTGTAGCAGGCAGGGAGGGAAGTAACCCCAGAGAGGGCTTTGATACCTGAAATCCTTACGGAGGGGGATTCCCCTTCCAAACAATAATCAGTCCTCAGCTCTCTCCTACTCCCTGTCTTCCATAAGCCAACAAAAGTCTTCAGTATAGGTATGTAACAGTGATTTAAATGTTCATTTATTTTATTTAGTTCTCATTGTTTTGTGTATGTAAAACTATAATTAATCTTTAAAAAATGTATTTTTTGTTAATATTTTTGGGTGTCTGGAATGGATTAACTGTATTTACATCAATTCTTATGGGAGATAATGCTTTGAATTTAGACCTTTTCAAATTTAGGTCAAATTTAGGCTGATATTCGGGGTTCTACCGTACAAGTATAAAAGTACGAGGAAAAGGGGAAACAAATTAAAGAGACTTTTTTTTCCAACAAACCAGCCCACAGAGGTGGGGTGACCTTTTTAAACAGTGATTTATACAGAAGAGGTTACTTGCCCCTTGCTCTAAAACAAAAAAAGACAAAGGTATATGTCCTAGGTAGTAGGTTGGTAAACAGCAACCGCCCAGGGAGGTACTACCGTCCTGCCAAGTGAGTGTACAACGAAAACCTGTAATTATTTTACATGATGGTAGGATTGCTGGTGTCTTTTGGCTGTCTCATAAACATGCAAGATTTCAGGTATGTCTTGCTACTTCTACTTGCACTTAGGTCACACTACACATACATGTACAAGCATATATATACACACCCCTTTGGGTATTCTTCTATTTTCTTTCTAGTTCTTGTTCTTGTTTATTTCCTCTTATCTCGATGGGGAAGTGGAACAGAATTCTTCCTCCGTAAGCCATGCATGTTGTAAGTGGTGACTAAAATGCCGGGAGCAAGGGGCTAGTAACCCCTTCTCCTTTATAAATTACTAAATTTAAAAGAGAAACTTTCGTTTTTCTTTTTGGGCCACCCTGCCTTGGTGGGATACGGTCGGTGTGTTGAAAGAAAGAAAGAAAGGTATATGTAAGAAAAAGAATACTATTAAATATGAAAATCAAGGAGCATGAGGTTCTTTGGCTTTACTTTCCTGAACTCACCAAGGTCTGTTGAACCTTGTAACCAGATAACTTCTCAAACTACTGTTTTGGAAAATGAAAACTGTATTCTGCATTACATCACTAAGAGTTGCACACCAACACTTTCTTCTCCAAGTATCATATTCATTTCCTTGAATTCTATCCTTCAACAATTCAAAGATATTTCAAAGTACTTCTTGCACCAATTCATCTGTTATACAAAAATATCAGACATGTTCAGTTATCTAAGAAATAGAGCAAATCACATCGAAAAGCAAGTATGGTACACAGACTTACGAAGAGTTCATTACATGGTCAATGGCTACAAAAATTAAACCAATGGGGAGGTTGAGGGGAAGAGGATATACTCTAAGAATGAGAAGTAAAACATAATGCACAAAACATGTACCTAAGGGATACAATCTGCAGTGTCGGTGCTCCTGGAATGGCAATTGTCAGACAGCCAAAGGGAGACCAGAAGTAAACATGACTGTTCCCTGTACAAACTGCAAGACGAGGTTGTTGTGGATCCCAGGCAAATTCTGCAAATAAATAACCATCATAATCTGAAAGCCACAAAATATTTTTAATAATGTCTTAAATGTCTGCCAAGGATTTTAAAGTCCCATTGTCTTCGAATAATAATCATTTTCTTATTGCCAATTTAATTCTTATGTTTCTACTTTCTCTCAGAGAGCACTTTAAATATATAATGAAGTGTTAGAGATGATAAAATATGCAAGATTTCAGCAAATTTTCACAAACCTTTCACAGGACTGACATGTACCAGTATAGCCTTGAGTGTCAGCTTTGGTATACTCCATATCCAAATGGTAGCTGGCATATTATCATTCCTGCTTGCTAGATAGCGGTTATCTTTACTGAAGAGAAGAATCCCGATACCAATATGTGGACTAGCTTGCTTTCCTGGTTCTACAGTGATAGATGCAAGGCTCACTGGTCTGGTTTCCTCTTCCTTATCTTGGGATATATCAAAATTATTTTGTATACTATTAATAAATGTGTCTCCCACAATGTACCAAACTGCAGCATAGTAATAACTTTATTCCCTTATTTACAGTACTGTACTTTGATATAAATATAAAACTTTTTTTGTTTTCATCAAACCCGACATATCCCACCAAGGATATGGGGTTACTAGCCCCTTGCTCCCTGCATTTTAGTTGCCTCTTACAACACACATGACTTATAGAGGAAGAATTCTGTTCCACTTCCTCACAGAGAATATATAAAACTATATCATGTATTTGATGAGAGAAAGATGCCATGTTAGTTAGTTTAGTTTAATATCTTCATTGTGCACTCCATACCCATCCTGTGGGAGGTAGTCAAAAGATTACAGAGATACATAATTGGTGCCATGCATTATCATTTTTAAACATTCTATTGCAAAATTTTCAACATAGCCATTTCCCACTAAGGGATGGGGATGACTCGGTGGAAACACATTCCCATTGCACATTTTGTAGCTGTCTTCCCAGAAGTACACAAACGTCACATTTCAAATGATTCTCTGAACTGTAACTTCTCCAACCAGAGACACAACATACATTATAGCTGCATATTCATCAAGTCCTGCACACCTATCCACCCTGACCACCAACTGACTTAAGAGTCTTACTGATAAAAGTGCCATTTACATTTGTCTTTGTACTGTACTATACGTATATATTAACTGGCTTCATCTTGTTCCTGATGCATGCCAAAAGAAAAACTCAAGTCATGATGTTAATACATGTACCATATTCTCTGATTGTACCTATGACATACCCACTATTTGTTGGTTTCATTTGTTCTTTGTAGCTATTTTATATTTAAATTAAAGATCTAACATTCAAGTATTTTTCCAAGGTTTTTCTGCATGATTTAATGAATGTACGTACTACTGTGTTCTCTGTATTTAGAGGCTGCACCAGTAGATCAGATTAGTATAGGTTAATTCTTATCTTAAAGACAAGAATTAACCTATACTAATCTGATCTAGTATAGGCTAATTCTTATCTTGAAGACTGGAAAAGTATCTTTATTATTATGAATTTTATATAAGAAAATTAATGTGAAATAATTAAATATTGTAAATTAATGATTGAACAGTTTTTCTTTCAAAATATTAAATATACAGCCTCTCCTCACTTAACGACAGAGTTCCGTTCCTAATACCGCGTCGGTAAACAATTTCGTCGCTAAACGAGGAGCATACTATAATGGTTGTGCATTTATGTCAATCATCTTTGATATTGCTTTAATGTCACCCTTGCACCATTTATAACATTTTTAGTATATTTTTAAATGTTTATACAGTAGTGTACTGTATATTGTAATAAACAGAATAGAGGAAATCAGCTCTAATATACATTATTCAGACATGAATACTGGTCAGAGAGCCCATCGTAAGCCTGAGTTGTCGGTAAACGGGTACATCGCTAAGTGAGAAGCTGTACAGTGGAACCTCAGTACCCGAACAGCTCCATACTCAAACAATTCAGTACATTTATGCAGACTACTGCATTATTGTAAAAATGGTATAAATACGTAATATCAGCGCATTTGTGAAAGCATATTAGACCCACTAGTTGATGGGTACTGGACATGTAATGTGATTTGTTTACTCTTGAACATCAGGAAAAATTGAACATTTCCACTACTTTGAGCTCAATTTGAAGGTACAGTGGAACCTCGGTTTTCGTCTTTAACAGAAAGTCTGACGAAAACCGAATTCGACGAAAACTGAAGCAATATTTCCCATAAAAAATAATGTAAATCCAATTAATCCATTCCAGATATCCAAAAATATTAACAAAAAATACATTTTATAGAGAAAACAATGAGAAATAAATATAAAGGACTAATGAAATGGATAAATTAACATTTAACATAACTTTTACCCTTATTGACGACTTGTTGGCATATGGAAGACAGTGAGAAGGGGAGAGGGAGGAGAGGTTATTGTTTGGAAGGGGAATCCCCTTCCATAAGGACTTCAGGTATCAAGTCCCTATCCGGGGTTACTTCCCTTCTTTGTCTTTTACTGGCACTAGGACCAGCTTGAGAGTCACTGGACACATGTCACACAAAAAATCTGTCAAGAGAGATCTGTTTCTGGATTCTTTAAGATTTGTCTAAAATGGGACAAGGCATTGTCATTGAACATGTTGCAGACACAGCTTGCAACAGCTTTGTTAGGGTGATATTTCTCCACAAAACTTTGCAACTCACTCCACTTTGCACACATGTCCGTAATCATTGATAAAGGCACATTCTCCCCTCTCTCTTCCTCCTCCTCTAAAGCAATTTCCTCAGCTGCGATCTGTTGCTGTTCTAGTTGAAGGTGTTGCAGCTCTTCAGTGGTTAGCTCTTCACTGTGGTCATCCACCAACTCTTCCACATCCTGGCCACTCACATCCAACCCCATGGACTTTCCCAAAGCCACAAAAGATTCCACAACAGGCGTAGGGTTGTCAGGGTTAGCCTCAAACCCTTCAAAATCCTTTTCTTGGCCCCATGGTGACTTATTTAGCAGTTGCACTCAATAAACAAGCACAAAAAACAATGGATTATTATGAAATGTTTTGTATGAACGAGCAGGGTAATGTTCACTCAATGAGAAACAAAGCCAGACTGACTCAGAACGTGTGTGTGGGATGCTTTGTGTGAGCGCATTCAGGTGGACACGTTTGGTACGGCAGTTGAAAACCGAGGTGATGAAAAAAACTGGGACAAAATTTTGATGAAAAAAGTTGCCGAAAACCTAATTTGACGAAAACCAGGGCAAACGAAAACTGAGGTTCCACTGTACTTTTAGTTTGTAAACCATTCAAAATCATCTCTATTTTTGTAATATATCTTTCATTCTATGAAATGAGACCAAGAAAATGAGAATACAACCATAAATACCATACGAAAATACACTGCAAAGTTGCTGTAAGTGTATTATTTGGGGTCTGAAATGGACTAATTTAATTTACATTATTCCTTTTTATTATTTTATTATCATACTGGTCGATTCCCACCAAGGCAGGGTGGCCCGAAAAAGAAAAACTTTCACCCTCATTCACTTCATCACTGCTTGCCAAAGGGTGTTTACCTACAGTTTTTTAAACTGCAACATAACCCCCTCCTTAAGTGCAGGCACTGTATTTCCCCTCCAGGACTCAAGCCGGCCCCTGCCGGTTTCCCTGAACCCCTTTTAAAAATTTGTTTACTTTGCTCCACCCAAACGCACTCAAGTATTAAAAACCATTTGTCTCCATTCACCCTATCAAACACGCTCACGCTCCCCGGGGAAGTCCAAGCCCCCGCAACAAAACCTCCTTTCCCCCCTCCCTCAACCCTTCCTAGGCCGACCCCTACCCCCCTTCCTTCCTACGGGCTGTTTTCACTTTTTGAAGTCACTGTTTTGCCCATTCTCTTCATGTCCGCCCCCTCAACAACCCTTCCTCACCCCTTGGACAACAGTTTTGGTAATCCCCACCTCCTCCTAATTTAAAAAACTCGAATTCTTGCATTATATTCCACCACACATTGCCCTCGACATGACATCTCCCTGCCTCCACCCTTCTCCCGCTGCAACTTTTCATCACCCACGCTTCACACCCTATAAGAGGTTGGTAAAAATACTCCAACTTTCCCCCTCTTTGCCCCCAAGGACAAAGTTTTTTGTCTCCACAGACTCCTAAGTGCCCACCACTTTTTTCCCCAATTCTATGATTCACCTATCTTTCATAGACCCCTCCGCTGACAGGGCCACTCCCAAAAATCTGAATCGTTCACCTCCCCATACTCTCTCCCTCCCAATCTATATTTAATCTTTTATCACCAATTTTTTTTTATCCCCTAACCTTTCTCTTTCCGTATTCACCTTTAATTTTTTCTTTGCACACCCTCCAAAACTCCCCCAATCTCTGCAACTTTCTTCAGAATCTCCCAAAGGGACAGGGGTCATCAAAAGGCAGCGTGACAACTCCCCCTTTTTGGGGGTTTTATTCTTTATCTTTTAACTCCACGCCCCTTGCCAAGACCCTCGCTTTCTTTTTCTTTCCCCATCCCATCTATATATATATTAAACAACAAAAGGTAAATCAAATACCTTGTCTAAAACATGTTTCTGGGAAAATTTCCACTCTTTTCCATACATACCAAAACTATGACCCCCTCTCATATCCTGTAAAAATCTCTTCACTGCTTTAGTAACCTATCCTCCCTCACTATACAAATTCAACAAGGCTCCCATTATCATTACACCGGGTAAACCCCAAATCATAACACCCTCTAAAAGCCTCTTTAGCTTAATCTAAATACTGTTCACTTATATGTTTCACTGTAAACACCTGGTCCACACACCCCCTACCTTTCCTAAAGCCTCCTTGTTCATCTGCTATCCTATTCTCCGTCTTACTCTTAATTCTTTCAATAATAACTCTACCATACACTTTACCAGGTACACTCAACAGACTTATCCCCCTATAATTTTTTGCACCTCTTTTATCCCCTTTGCCTTTATACAAAGGAACTATGCATGCTCTCTGCCAATCCCTAGGTACCTTACCCTCTTCCATACATTTATTAAATAATTGCACCAACCACTCCAAAACTACATCCCCACCTGCTTTTAACATTCTATCTTTTCCCATCAATCCCGGCTGCCTTACCCCCTTTCATTTTACCTACTGCCTCACGAACTTCCCCACACCCCACAACTGGCTCTTCCTCACTCCTACAAGATGTTGTTTCCTCCTTGCCCTATAAAACGAAATCACAGCTTCCCTATCTTCATCAACATTTAACAATTCCTCAAAATATTCCCTTCCATCTTCCCAATACCTCTAACTCTCCATTTAATAACTCTCCTCTCCTATTTTAACTGACAAATCCATTTGTTCTCTAGGCTTTCTTAACTTGTTAATCTCACTCCAAAACTTTTTCTTATTTTTCAAAAAAATTTGTTGATAACATCTCACCCA